ATAGAGTAAGTTTAGCACAATTGTTATTCAAATTTTTCTAAACAGTTAACTTGAAAGTAGTTTGCTTACAAACAATCTCACCATTAAATTTTGACAAAAGTATTAAATTTTTGGAAAGATTTGCTATATTTTAGAAAATGCATATTGTTTTAACAATATTTTCTATAGCTGAATGATTGCAATTCGAAAGCTAATAAATAGCACCACATTAAAGCTGTTTTCTCTTTATAAAACATGACTGATTTCATTGGAAAACATTTTGAATTGGTTTATTTTTGGAAATTATTGAGAATCTGCAGTATGAAATTAATCATTACTGCTATATATTTTTTCCTGAAAAATTAGTTAAATTTTTTGTTTTGCTACTTCTATGCTTTTAGCTGTTAAATAATGTCAATAAGTAGGAGCAGAATAAAATTTGCCAGAGGTAATTAACTGATTTTTTGAAATCGTTCTCAAAATGCTTTATTGCAGGCTTGCATAACCCAAAAATTATTAAAAGGAGCGAAATCCATCAAATTTCATCAACCAAAATGAATTCGCATAGTAAAAATGAAGTGAAGGACACTTTTTAACCGAAGCAGTACGCTTTAAAGCTCAAAAATAATTACTTCGCTACCAAATAGATCAAATATATGGAATTACAGATATGACAAAAGTTGTGATGAGACTTGCGCAATGTTAGCACTGTTCATTACTTAATAAGTTTGCTTCTTGTGAAGTAAACTTTTTCAAGTATTGGATGACTGTTTGCATAGGTTAAAGGGTTAAAAGTCATATTTTTCAGTGTTTACATCTTAAAAATGTGTTATTCATTCATCCATTCTTCAGATAAAATTGGATTTGTATCTTAAAATAGAATAAAATAAGAAACTTTATAAAAAAGCCAAGCATAAAGTTTACTTGTCAAGCATATACATTCTCTATTACTAATTGTGCTATTTTGTAACTATATGAAGAGTTATCTTTTTGAGGGAAGTTTCTTTTTATTTCAGTTTATAAACACGCATTTTCTAAATATATTTTCTTTGAAATTGAAAGCCTCCATTGGAAGAGTTTACTAATTATGATTAATAAATTAATAACTTTCAAGTATTTTACCTATGAAAGATTGAAACAATAAATTTCACGAAAGTCAAAATGAGCATTGCGTCAAAATGAGCACAGTATACATACATATATACTGTTTTGAGAAGGTTGATCATAAGTTACAAAAGGAGCTTTTTTGTTGGAAAAATATGTTGCTAATATAATTTAATGAATTTTTTACAAATCAATAAAATGTCATATTATGTATTTTTTCTTATAAATGATTGAGCAAAATTCGAATTATGCATTGCTTCACAAGAGATAGCATAGAAAGGGATTATGTCGGTTTTATAATAATTTAAAGAGTATGCAACACTGCAAAGATTTGAAAATAAGTTGTCAAGGTAACTAAATGCAGCATTTTTACGTCGATACGTTGTTATGACCTTAACTAAATAACGAAAAGGAAAGCACTTACCAAGTGTGGTATTCACGAATAGATGAATAATTCAAATGTGGTAAGAATTCTTGCAAAAAATTTTAATTAAATAATTTCAAAAATGCTTCTTCCTCATTTTTTCAAAGTATTTACAGTGCTCTGATCGCAAATCTCTCAATTTTGGCTTTTAAAATATATATACTGCTAAACATCAAATTTTTGATATATTGAAATATTTGCTTTTAAGGCCTTCTGATTTCAAGATTTGTTTGACATATTTCGTGATAAATTTTGAATTTGAGTAATTTTTTGCATAATTTATTAAATGAATAGAGTAGTCATATCAAGAAATTAATTGTAAAACTAAAGTATGAATCGCTAACAGCTTTAATTAAATATTCTGGCTTGTATCGATTTATCGCTGTATAATAAAAGTTATATTTATCATATCTATCAATCCATTTTATGAAATACAAAGTTTTTCAGAGGTCATCACTCCCATTACAACTCATTTTGTGCATCAATCAACCCATTTCAAGTGTATTCGTACTCCTTCTTTTGTTTTTATACTTTTTCAAAGGTTAGCCAAATCTTGTTCATAATCGCTATGCTATTAAGCTAAGAGTAAATAAGCACGCACATCATACTTTTTAAATATTTAGACCAAAAATAGCAAAATTTCCAGGCTGCAAGCCACAACATTAAAAGTTCCTAAAAATTTTTTGCTTCTAATGAAAGTATCAGAAAAATAAATAAAACAGAAAAGTTTCAATCATTAACACTTATTCTTTTGTTCAATATGGATAAATTGTTTAAAATCTTTTATTGTCATTTTCAAAATTGTTTGTCATTTCTTTACTAAAACACAAGTTTATAAATTGAAATGTCTAAAAAAGTGTTACTTTCTGCAGTAAGACGCGGTAAATTATTGTGTTTGAATATTTGAATTCATCCTTGTTGTAATGAGATGCTAGCTATTCATTATATTAAACTTGAAATTTTAAAAATAAATTCCCATTTTTCATTAATACAAAAGAGTTTTGATGAAAAAAACGAAAGACTGCATTCAAACTTTTTGTACTCGTTTATTATTACTTTTTTTCATATATTTTTTATTTTATTATTTTATCAAAGATTAACTAAACCAATTAATTATCTTATTGCAAGAATGCATATTTTGCTTGTGTATATGTCAATCGTTCGAATATTTTTCATTAAATTTTGAATTTTAGTAACAATTTTGCCGTATGCAACAAATGCTAAAGTTTGTGAACTTTTACTCATTATTCTTTTCATTCCAAATGAAATGCTGCGTTTGTATTGGGGTAAGATTTTTGCCTTTCATACTAGGCAATCATTAAACATACCTATTCAAACTTGCTCAATAATTTTATCTCAACTTTTAGACTATTAACTCATAATTTTCCTTTTTTGATAAACAGCAAAAAAAAAATACTTAGCATTAGAAAATTAAATATTCTAAAAATACAATTCTTTATGCGTTAATTTTTTATGATTGTTTTTTAATTGCATATATTTTCTTTTTATTAAACAAATATTCATTATAAATTCAATAAGGTGTGATATTTAATATTTAATTGTCTGTAAACACAAATAATTCTTCTCTTAATTGCTATCAGTTATTTAATTGCAAGCTTTAGTAATTAGTAAAATAATTTATTAAATGAGTTAGCACTAAAGGATTTAAGTAAAAAATTAAATCAAAAATGATTGCAAAAGAAATGCTCGCTTTTCAATTCTATAATCCTCTTTATCTGACTTATTAGCAAAAAAAAATTAATAATAGCGTTTTAAATTGAAAAGTTTCCAAATTTGTTAGAAAATAATTAAAATAATTTTTTCTAATTAATTGAAATTCCAGTTTAATTTTTTTCAGCTCGCAAAGGAAATCTTACTGAGACCAGTGCTTACTTGTTATTTGCTTTATTGTTAAATGTGCTCACTTTTACGTTATGCATTTATTGGGCAGTATTTCAAAGTTACGTATTATTAATTGAATTCATAATCGTTTGCGTAGAAGTTATTTTTGTATTCATTGAAACAGTGCTCGAAATTGCTGCTCTTGCAAATTTCTCGAGGTAATCCACAAACTTTTTTGATATTTCCAAAGCTCTAAATATAATAATAGTTCATTTTATTGAGTTTCACAAAAAAAAATATCTGATTTTTTCTTCATTTTTATCAGTTTGCATCGCTTTTGAAAATTTCATCAAGAAATGCTTGATTTTTGGTAATCCTAAATCATGATGAACATTTGTAAAAAAAAAGTCATTGCTATTAAATTATTTTTTTTAAGTTTTTTTTCAGCCCTAAAATATGCTTATTACTTGAAAAAATAATATGACAAATTGTCGATACGGCTCGCTTGATAAAAGATTAATCATAAATTGATATTATAAGGGAATGCTAATGTAAAGGCTACCGTAATTTAAAAACATTTTCAGAACTGGCAATATTTAATTGCTCGAGTGTTGAAAAAATAAAATGGGTGCGCATAGAAGATTTCTCAATTATCAGATTGTAAATATTTTCTACTAAGATATTTATATTTATGCAAAAAAGAATTGTGAATAAATCAAATCTTCTATGACCAAAATCTGTTTGTGTTGATATACTTTTACAGACTGCGCAAAAAACAATGCAAATTACAGCGAACTGAAGTGAATTTGAAAAAAAAGAAACTGTTTTATTATCAAATAAATGCCATAAACAAGCATGATTTGAAGTTTTTAACAATTAAATAAAATGTTATATTATTCTGTTAATCAATTTACATTGTGTATAATTGAGCGTTATTAAAATATTTTAAATTCTTCATTAGCTCATTTGTTTAAAACAGAATAAAGCTTTAGAGAAGGTATAACTTATGGAAAAATATCATGTGTATGATTACATAAAATTGATCATATTCTATAATAGTGGACAAATTAAAAAAATTGATACATATATATAATGAATCGGTGAAAAAATTCAAGAATTATAAAGAATTATCGATCTCTTCATTTATCTACCTAGCTAGCAACTAATCTATATCTCTAATTAATTAATTAAGTAAGAGCTTGAGCAAAGTCGTGTTTAACTTCATTTCTAATGTCGATGTAAATCAGGTTGAAAGAGTATAATTACTGAGGGAAACCTACCTTTCAAGTGCAATGTAAAACATGTATCTTAAGGAATCAGGTTTTTATATGCCTGCCAACCATTGAAACTGCCTTTTGATTTGCGTTCGTTCAGTTTCAGAAAAAAGGACACAAATAAGTACCATTTTTATATCTTTGTTTCCATTTTCTTCTTTTTAAAAGAGGTAAAATAATTAGTTAAATTATGCCTGTCATTTTTTACTATTTTGCTCTGTCGATTTTTGCTCATTGCTTGATAATTATTCAAAATTTAGTTACATTCATTTCATTGCTGTTATTGCATTGCATCTGCAATGATATGAAAATGACTTGCAAATATTTGCTTTCAAATTATGTTCATTATTATCATATTTTTTTGATTCTTCTCGTGTATGCTACTTGTGGGTAAGATTAAATTTCATAATATACTTATTTTAGCAAAATAATTTTAAAAATAACAAAAATTAAATATTACTTAATGGATGAATTAATTTAAACTTTAATGTAGTATTATGGAAATTAATTCAAATAATTCATAATTGATTTTAAAATTGAAATTCTTAAAGCATAAAAATCAAACGTGTTTTAAAAGTAGATTTTTAAATAGTTGTTTTTAAATAAAAATTTGATTGTTTAATAAAATGAAAAATAAATTTATTTCCACAAGATGATTTTTAATAAGGCTAAAAATAAACGAATACAATGAACTGATGAGAAAATTCAAGAACTATCATGCAGCAGTTCGACCACAAGAACGTGACAATAGTGTTACTAATGATAATGGCACATTTTTTGCGCTCAACTCAAACTTGAAGATCATTTCAACGGAGCCTCAGCATGTAATCATTATTTCTCATTTGACCATCACTTGAAATTGAAGACTTCAATGAATAATATAATGATGTAGAAAAATTAATGGAATCAAAAATACTGCAGCCATTAATTCATACTTTTTAGTTTTCTAATCAAAAATAATTTTTTTGGAAAAAATAAAATAGTGCAACAAAAAGTTTGTATAAAATTATGTTGAGTGTGGAATTCAGTTATGAATTTGTACGTTTCTGGCAATAATTTTCGATTTCAAGCTTATTTTATGCAGAATATTGTTCATTTGGAAATGATATTTGGTGTTACATATACCGATGAAAGACTGATTATACCTCGGTTGAAAGATCGCTTTTGTATGCCAGTAGAATATCGGCCATGGCTTCCTGAACTTACCACTCGACCAACTTTCTCTTTCAGAAGTGTTATATACTTGGATCCAATTAGTGGCATTATAGATGTCTTGTACAAGTTAGCAAATTTACTTTATTATATTTCTATACTTGTACTTTTCAGTATCATTATCTATTGTATATTTTTGTGCAGTTCTGTCTTGAAAAGTAAAATAACTTGTTTCTTGAAGCATTAAGTTATTATCGATTGTTAATGAGCAAGCAGAATTCCTTCACTTATAATTTTATTCAGAGTAGTAGTGATATGACAAAAAGTTGTCTAAAATTATAAATAACACTTTGTATTGAATTTTTTATTTTGATATAAATTTGTTGAATAATTTCAACTAATTTTTATTTGCAAAACAAAAGATTATCTGAGCTAACATTCTTTATAACAAATTGTACTTCAGGTATGCGCAAGATCTTGATTGTTCACCTGAAACGTGGCGACATCCTTTTGATTTATTTCGCTGTGAAATTGTTATATCGAATGTTGGAGGTTAATTTTTAGTTATTTAATTAGACTACCGAAGTTAAAAAGAGTCAAAAAAAATTTTTTTAACAGTAGAATCCGAAATAATAAGAGTGTAGGCTATTTTTTCTCTTTAGTTTCTGTAAAATTTTCTAAACATTGAAAGCTGCTTCATATTGAAGATGAACGTATTTTTCTACGAAATGTCCAAGACTTACGTAACACAGAGACAATGTTCCAAGTTTCTGTTAATATCGGTGAGTGATTCCATAAAATTTGTAGCACATTATTTTCCACCACTATTACTAATTATACTAAATTTGATAGCAGCGATTTGTTAATCAAGTTTGAATCTTCTAATCTTTTAGAGTAATAAGCTTTCAACATTGGTGACTGTGATTATGAATCTAATGGTGAAATTTATTATCTTACAGGCAAATGAACCAAAAAACTCAACATTTACCCTTTTTCATTATAAAACGATAAAATAAATACTGTTTTCAAAAATATCTTGAGATTTTTAGAGACATCAGATGAAATAAAAGTTATTGTAAGCTATCTCGAACTATGGTTCTCTTCTATGGTTACCAACATATTACCTTCAATGATCATTTTCTGCGTTGTTATTTTTGCTCAGTGGAGGCGACGTAAAATTCATATGTTCATCACTGTACTTGCTCTTACATGCATAATTTTGCTGGTAATTTGATTGAAGCAATCATGCTAACGATACTTTCGAGTTTTCTGATTTATGGCGAAAAATACAGAAAAAAAAAGTTAAAAACTTACCATAAATTGAAGTATGAGTGAATTGAAGTGGATATTTTTAACTAACTTTCAGGAAAACTAAAATTTTAACAGACTACTTCTTGCTATTTGAATTGCAAAAGATTCTATAAATTCAAAGTCAAGAATTTCGCTGAAAAAACTTGATTGAATCGACTACAATCAACTTTAATGATTAGTGTTCTTTGCTTAGCAGCAATCAGCTAATCGAAAAGAAAGTATACTAACACTGGAAGATTTATGGCTTTCTGTTACGTTTTTGCATGTAGTCTGTGTACTACTGGTCGACTTAATGGTACCATCACACCGTATTCAATATGTTGATATCAACAGTGGTCAATACACTCGGTTCATACTGGCAGGTAGATTTCACTTTCCCATTCACTACCAATCACCATTAAATAAGAAAAAGATTGCAGATATAAACTCCGAGGACAAAAATCTTCTTTCAAATGCAATTAAGACCTTCGAGATTAATATATATTGTAGCAGAAACACACCAAGTAAACTAACCCATTTTACTTCAACAGCCTTATTCAGAATTAGGAAGATAATCCAAAGCTGAAGATAAAGTTTAGACATAAATGTTGCAGATGTCGATGTGGTAAAACGATTTCCACCTCAGAAACAACCAGCAACATTCGGAAAGAACAGCCATGTGGTGCAGCAAAGAATAATTACCACATCTTTAGGACACAGAAAACGAATCTCATTGGCAACGATTACATGCTGTTATTTCATCTTCGCTTTTGCTTATTTTACTTTTGTCATACATCTCATTCTTAAGCATAAGAACTTCTTTTGGTAACAACTAATGCTATCCGATATTCAGTTTTTGTTCATTAGATTAGACTTTCTTATGCTTAAGAATGAGATGTATGACAGCGTGATTTTTATTCTACGAGAAAATGCTGAAAAACTATTAATTATATGAACTTTTAATTTTCCTTTCCATAACTAGTAGCTTGTCAATGTCTCTTTCAGTTAGTTAATGAATAACTTTTAATTTTTGGGAAAAAAAAAACAATTTTATAAGCACATCAAATTACAGCCACAAAATTAATTAGTGAATAACAAAATAACAACATCAAACAATCATTGATAACTATCGCAGTTTAGATCCTCAACAACTTGTCCGTGATGATGTTCAACACAAATTACTACTAATAATCTTTGACGACACTCGATATGGGACACGTTTTACCAGTACTGTTTTTAAATTTTTAGGACAAAAATAATTTAAAAAATTAAGCGCGGGGAAGTAACAAATATTTTTGGACACTAACTTCAATAGACTCGTAATAGATTCTCATGAGAACACAGTCAGTCATCTTGACAAAACACAAATAAAAACGGTGAAAACAAACAACTTATTCAAGAAAACTCGAACCAATAACCATTACTGAACGAAAGTTTCCACGTTCCATGCATCTTCAAAACTCGATGTTAATCTACAACATGCCAAGGCAGCACTCAAAGGAAAATTACTTATTTTTGCTTCCTCGTTAGCATAATCCACAACAACCTATAAGCATCTTTTATGAAATTAACTGAAAAATAATTTATACTAAGCAAATTTTTATTATTAATAACAATATTCCTTGAAAAACGGCATTTCTATGAACACTTCTATGAGCGAAATTAATTCTGTTACCTTCCCGCTTGCAATGCTCCCAATAATGATTACAACAGGCTTATCACCAACACTTTCGGCAATCTGCTTACAAGTTGAGTAGTTCGTTGTGTTGTAGGTGAATACTATTTTGCGGCAGTCAACTGGCAAATAAGAGCTCACTGGATTTTTGATTACTTTTAGAAGTTGCAGTGAATCATTAGCTGCACGAATAGACAGTTTGTGTAATAGCTGTACTAAAATTGAATAAAGTTCGTGAATTCCTGATTATCAGCAAACAGTCATTGTTCACGTAATCAACAGAAAGAATATTGTTGTAAACCACAGATACAATTTAAATTCTTCTTAAGACATACACATAAATATATCTATAAAACCAGCAATAAAAAGACAAACCCATCAAACCACAGAATCGATCGAAAGTTCTTGGAAGACGAGTTTGGGGGTTAATTTCAATTAAAACATTATTAGCAGTATGCACATAAACTCTCAGAAGACCTGCTCGGTTCAAAGGACTATCAAGAAGCATCAGGAGACACTAAAAAATGAAATAATTATAAATTTACAATAACGAAAAAAGAGATTTCATAAAATAAATAGAAAAACTGTTTATTGTGAGCATGAAAGCTAATCTTCTCATTTATTTTTGTTATTGGCATTTAAGGTGGTGTATGATTAAGTAACCAGTCCACAGAACTGAACTTCACGCTTCAAGTTCTGCACAACCTTATAAATTAAAAACAGATGTAGAATGAAAGCTGAAGTTCGGCATTTACTACGTCTTTCAACTCATAATTCTACATATAAAAAGTATGAAAAGTAAAAGTAAAAACTGAAGAGTAAAGAGAAAAATGAATATCAAATTTAAAATCAAATAACATAAATGTTAACTTGATGGAGAATATCGGGTCGAAAATTATTGGGGTCTTTTTTCTGACTTCGAATAAAATTAGCATGTTTGTCACTGGTTAAAATCACATAATCTTTACCAACCTGTAAAAGAGTGAAATCAATAAAGTGAGACAAAGAGTAAAGAAACAGGATTACACGTAAATATATAAAAATACATATAAATAGCTAAACACAATCGCACGCACAATGTTGTGCAATTAATAAACCTGACCTTGGCGCTCTCCAGTGAGCACTTCTCAAGGATAACAATTAGCTGCTTCTTGTTACTTTCATTTTCTTCTTCATCCTTCCTGATTCGCTTAGCAAATGGTCCATCAAGCATTTTCGATCTCCAAAAGTGAGAAACTGTTTGTTTGCTTATTTATGTACCAAATTTACCTTAAAAAGCGATTTAACGCTTAAGTTATACATCCCAACTGAGGTCCGATAATGATCTATCCCACCACTCGTCAGAATTACAACCAGCCTACCAAAATACAATTTACAAATCCTCTTATCAATTTTTGGTTCGTGGAATCTTGTCACGATGACTACTATGCAATGATACATCTCAACTACATTTGATAACAGCACTATAATTTGGTCAAGTTCATATACCAGATTAGGATGTAGTATGTCAAAGATGAATCACGATGGCAGTTTAGTTTATGTTGTATTAGGTTTCTGTTAAGTTCATCTAATAATTGATTAATGAGTTACAAAATTTACTCTGTATACAAACTTATGAGCTACTTATTAGAAAAATATTACTATGAAGAGCCGTAAAAATTGGTTTGAAAATTCGATTTATTAAAAATTAATAAACTTTGTGTTTTTCAACACTTATGAAATCACTCCTTATTTATTTACATCCTAGAAAGGTTATTGGGAGTGATATGATATATGTCAGGAAGTTCTATAAACTATGAAACACTTTAATTCGCCATAATTGCATTTAAAATTGGCGGCAAGCGAATTTCCAGCTTATCAAATGACAAGATATCTGAAATTATGAAAGGCCAGCAAGACATGATGAATTTGGTTTACACTTGAGTGTAAGCGTGAATAATATTTTGGCTATAAACTCTAAGCGTGAATTATTGCACAATTCGTGTTTTATCTTTACAACAATTTAGCAAAGAATTTAAGGGTTTTTTTTCAAATAATTGGAGAGTAATTAGTTTATTTTAAGTTAAGACTGAGGTAATCTCATTTAGAATACATTAGATACATTGAGATGTAAGATTCATTCAGTTGGATTACTTTTATCGAAAGCTAAACATCAAATTTATAATTTTCAATCACTTATTAATAAAATGCTATATACATACAGTTGGCGTCGATGAAAGATTAGTTTTCGCAAGTATTCTTATTCACAAATTTTGTTCATAAACTTCACTTATTTTGATATACAATTCAAAACTGAGAGCTCGCACTTAAACTATTATTCAACCAGCCAGAAGCAATCTCATATAATATAACATGCACTTGTAATTTATCAGTGCTTAAGAATGATCAGTTTGTAGTGTTCAGAAGATTTGAAGCAAATCAACAGAATAGCGATGCCCTCCTCGATTACATTATATGCCTATTTTTACATTCATTTACGTTTTCGCATTCAATGAATATTTTCAGAAATAAATTTCAGCCACCGCCAAGTTCATGAAAGTGCTGGCAGTTCATGAGAATAAAATATTTTTATCCATTGCCTATTGTTAGTTCTTTATAATTTTGTTCTTTTATATAATTATGGATAATAACAACAAATTATTATTATTATTATTATTATTATTATTGTAATTATTACATATATAAAATCATTAACATTGATTTCAACACCTTTATGGATGTAATTAAGTCTGTTGCCACAAATTATTCAAATGATTACTACAGAAAATTGGATACCTGTTATCCAAACCACCATTTTTTATTGAGCATATGTAACTGTTATCAAATATCACTCATTTAGCATTCACATTACATCACGCTTAAATCTGCTTTTTGCAGTCAAAGTTTTTTTTTAACAGTTCATTGCTAACAAGAGAAGAATAAAAAGTTCGTTCCTAACAGAAAAAGAAGAAGAAAAAGAAATAAACATTATATGTTTTTATATTACTCTCGTGTATTTGCGTGTTTAATAAATTATCTTTTTCTTCTACTTGCAATTCATTACTTTTCTGCTTCTAATATATTCTCATGAATTTTGAACGCTATAAAACTTTCTCGAAATTGCTCATTTTGCTTGAGCTTGCAAATTATCCATCTGTGGGTGGAATCTAAAGTAACTTGACTACTTTTTATATCTTTCGTGAACGCACTCTGCATACTTCAATTCTTAAACCATTTGTAGAGAGCAAGTCTCTTTCTCATCAGCTTGTTATTTTATTTGCACTGAAAGCGTTCTTATTTTACTTCTTTCTTTCTTGATGCTACTTTATTTTCGAAAAAAATTACTTCAAATAATACTGCTATTGATTTCACATAATCAATTTAATCGTAGCTTTCATATATATATGTATACATGCAGATAGAAAACTCAGAAATTTTTGGACGATAAGAAAATTCAACGAAATTTGCTTTTTGATATACGATCAGTAATCAGAGACGAGCAAAGCAGCAACGGTGCGAGTATTAAGTATTTTCGCGTATAGTAAACCTTTGCAAACGCAAACTTGAGAAGAAATGGTAGAAGTCACTCAGGATAAGTAAGTGATTCAGCATTCCTTTTATATTTATTCATAGCAATCGAATAAGAACTTTCTTTAATATTAATGAAATTTCTCTGGGAAAATATCGATTGTATTTATGCGTATAAGAAGGACAGGTTCTGGGAATTAAAACTAGCGCAGAATCAAAAAGGCTAACTACTAGCAGTACTAGAAATTAAGCCTGGGTTCATTCATTTCCATTTTTAAACGACATTTTTGATTTTGTGAAAAGTTGTTGTCATTCGCTTCCTGTTTCTCACTTTCTGGTAATTCATGATGTCAGATGATTTAAAGTAATTAGCAAAGCCAAAAAATTACTTCATCTAATTTTTTTCTTTTTTGAACTGAAAAATATAAGAACAGTTATTCAGAGCACTGATTTTTCAACTTCAAAAGCATGCAATTTTATTTTGGAATGAGAAATTGTAAAAGTAATTAATTTAATTTTTCGTTCACATATTTAAATTAGAAAAATATACAACGAAGAATAAATCTGTGTGCTCATTATTAACAATATGAAAATAACAACAGCGTGTGATATTTTTATAAATACCATACCATATCTTTTTTTTGCATATTAATATACTGTATAATCTATATGAAATAATTCAGTATTGTAATTAACAGACTTTACATGCTAGCAATTACTGAGCAGATTATATGGCATCATATTGAAATAAGTTATAAATGTAACTATGCAACAACAATTATCGTACGAGTAGAATTTTGACGGTGTTACACTATTGTGAAACCAAGCAATAATAATATGGTATATGGAAAGCAATCAATAAATCACGATTCATCAATGTATTCAGTCAATAAATCAATTAATTGAAAAGTGTTTGCGGACTCGTTAGAGTGGATGAAAGGAAACTGATGCGGGAGTGCTCGAACTGCAGTGAATATAATTTATTTGTCACTGCATACATTCGAGAGGTCAGATGAAGGAGACGGCATGAATTGATTATTCTTTGCTTCCATGCCTCTTTTGTTAGCGAACTAACTCGTTTCCGTCATGAAGTAAGTAAGCAACGTCAAGTAAGGAAGTAAACCTACCTCACTAGCTGACAAACATCTGCTGCATGATGCATCATACCAGTAGTGCATTATGCATTCATTGTTTGACCTCTTGCCTATTCATTTGCAGCACTCATTTCTAATTTAGCAAACACTTAGAATGCTTTTTGTCATTTTCAAATTTTCAATTTTTTCACTCTATTCCAATCAGCAGCACATGTGCAGTTTCTTTGCTTACCACTGCTGTGTGCAGTTCTATCGAAATAAGCCAGTACATGAAAGAATACATCACGTATGCTAATTTATATTCACGAGAAGCGCGAAAATTGCTTCCACTCATTTACAAAAATTTATTATGCAGTGCAGCTCGCTCTACCTCATCTCGCACTGAGCGTGCTAGCGAAATTGATACATGCACTCTTCACTTTGCATAATAAGAAAGAAAGAAAGAGCATGCAAAAATAGTGCATAATACTGCTTGCAGTACTCATTACATAAGTATGTAACTATTTAGCACACAATTATTACTTCCAGTGCAGTTTCCAGCCTGTTTGATTACACTCCTAGCATGCTGATTGCACTCATGAAGAGTCAACTAGTCTATTTCTGGCACTTCTTCGTTACAGAATATTAATAATGTATTTGTTGTTTTATGTCTACTCCTTACTCTCCTCTATCTCATTTACTGCTACTTACTTACTTACTTACTTACTTACTTACTTACTTACTGATATACTTTGTCCCTGCAATGTTCTTCATTGCTTTTACAACTTAAGTTTATGAGTAAATGAATGAGAAACGATAATTATTAGTTTTGTTATTGCACTTAACTTCTTTTCCTTCCTATCCCATCTATTCACGTACAAATGATTCATTAATTCTTGTCTCATCTCATTTTATCTCATCTCGGCTGATCTCTTTTTATCTATTCATTCATTCATTCATTCATTCAATCATTCATTTATCTCTCTATCTATCTAATTTATTAATTTAATTTAATTTTATTTTATTTTACTTATTAACTGATCTATCCATTTATCTACCTAATTATTTGTTTATTTTTCCATTCATCTCTTCTCATATCTTTATCATTTCTATCAACAGCAAATTCTTTCTTTCTTTTAATTATTTCCCTTCATTAATTATTCTAATAACTGTCACTTCTATTTCAGTACTATAAGCATTACTTTTACTATGTAAAATGTTTTCTTATAGTTTTATATTCTGCAATGATTGGAAAAATTTCATTCAAAAGTTTATCAATTTTGAACCGTCCATTTTTGGTATGTTTTCAGTGCAACCTATTCTCCAACTCACCCACTTTTCTAGGTGCTCTTGTTTTGACTCACTTCACGCACGCATTTTACTCCCAACTTTGTTTTTTGTAATGGATTTTATGGCCTCATTTCCATTACAAGAAGTAGTTCTTCACACTTACACTTTTGTTGAAAGTATTTTTCGTTTTTAAATTCAGCAGTTTTTTTGCTTTTATCGCAGTCTTGAAAAATTTTTTTACACATTGATGAAAGATATGATCAGTAGAAAGTATTAATATTCATTTCTCTCTTATTTTTAAGAAATATAATTACTTTCAATTTGCTTTTTGTTTTTCGTCTTAGTCGAATGAACGACTGCATTGGAATCAGATATAGTAGTTATTGGTATTACGTGTAATTACAGCAGGTCACGTATTTAGTGAATAGCAAACTGAGCTAATTGTCCACTATAGGTCATCATGTTCCCTAAGCAACTGGCCAAGCCTGTAATCCATCTTTTCAGTGGACAACTCATATGTCCAATAAATACTATGCAATATATTTGATGTCTTCAATTGCTTATATGTTTGTTTGAGATTAACATATCCAAATATTAAGTTCTAAAAATAATTCCCCTTTACTTTGATTGAATCTGAGAATATTTAATTGAAAATTATTTACATCACGTAAAAATTCATCTTTTTTTTACATTCACCTTTTTTTGCATCTTTCTATTTGATCTTCAATTTTATCACTAATCAAAGATATTATTTTGTTCTGGGATTTATATTGGCTGTTTTTCTTTCTGTAATGGTACTATTTCGATCAATTTCAGAAACTTTAATAGTAATCATGATGATATTCGATTTTTCTTGTGAAAAGTTCACCCGTTCGAGAAGAATAGTAAATTTGGTCAGATCAAGGAATTAAATGCTGCATCGTAGTTGGGAATAGAATATTTATTCTTCTTCGATATCTTATCAATTCCTTCATTACTGAAATATTATTTTTCAAACAAAACGATGTCATTCGTCCAAAGGTAAAAAGGATCTTATTTTTGTATTTTTTGCACAAAGTTCTTGTTTAGCTTTAATTCTCAAATTAAATGATTTAAACTATAAGTCTTCAGATTTTTCACATAATTATGCTATAGTTCTTTCAAAATTAATGAGTACATATATAATAAGCTTTTTTGTTACTTCATTAAGTTCTGGGAATTAATCAAAGCAGATACATGTGATTTTCAATAACAGTTTAAGTCAATAGTCATGATTGTTACATGTTTGTATTTAAATACCAATATGTATAAATATGGTTGCTGATTTCAGCAATATTTTATCAATCTTTGAAAGTTAGCAAAAAATAGTGTTGAAGGCTGACAATAAAAATGTGACTAATGAATGCAGCATATATTTTAGCAAGACTCATCACAATTTGAAGCAAGCCAAAAATTTCATGCATAATGATTGCAACCATCAATCAAATAATCTTAACTTAGAGGAAGCAGGAAAGATAGAAGTATAAGCATTGAATAAGCAGAAGGCTAAGGATCTCCTCTATTAAATTATTCAGTTTTTTGCGAGCATTTCTTGACGGATCTTTTCATGTCTATATTTGGCTAACATTTTTTGCATTTCCAAATCGACTTTTCAACTATCAGTTTCTATGCTTTCTATTATAAAATATGCATATTGAGAGTACAATTATAAACATATAATAATTCACTTGCAGCATTCAAAAACATTTAAAAGTTCGAAGTTATCAACTTCCCATTTTTCTTCTTTCATTAATAGAAATTAATAAAGTTTGTTATATAGTAGCGTTACATGAAAAAGGAAATTTGAACGATAATTTTCTTGAAGAAAATAGTTGCAGTTCATGTTTACATAAAGCTTCAATATTCTTCTGAATGCGACTGGTGCATTTTAGAATTAATTCATCACATACTTTCATTACATCAAGCGCTCAAGTACACTTGCATATATGAAAACATTGCTTTCAAATTTTTAAGAAAAACTGAGTTTAGTTTTCATTTTTTGTTATAAGTATTTTTTTCTTCTAAAATTGCTAACAATAGCTGTAATTTTATATTTCGTTGTTATTCAACCGCAATTATTATTATTATTATTATTATTAATTATCATTATTGTTATTATTATTAATTTTTAATAAGAATTATCATTATTACTATTATTATAATTACTGTTATTACTATTATTATTATTACTATTATTATTATTATTATTGTTATTATTTGTATTTAATCTTCTGCTACATTTACTCTCAATCTCTAATTGTTAGGTAGTGTTGTACTTTAAAAATTTTCTGCATCTCTGCTAATACATACTCAATCTTTTTTGTTCTTGTTGTCGTAAATGCTCTCCAGGAAGCATACTCTGTTTGTTACAAATATTTTACGTCTCATAAAAATCTTATTCTCACAAATTCGTCTATTTATATACTTATGATTAATAGATACGAATGCATAACAAAGTTGTGGTTACTAATTGGTCCGTTACTGTAATTACGGAATGCAATTTGGTATGTTTTTAGAGAGAATTTATTTTGGTATTTGATTAATATTAAAGAGGTAAACAAATGTGCGTAATGTTTCAGAGGTAAGAAAAGAATGAAATCCGGCACTTCTCGACTATTTGAACTTCAACCCGATCCTTACGACGATTCGCAGAAACGTTTTTTTCGGGTCTGTTTATTTATGGACGTAAGAAATTCATCTAAACTGAAGGAGGAGCTTAAAGATGGATCGATCCATGCAGCATTAATCAAACCTGAATTAGTGAGAATTAGTCTGTTCAAATCATTATCAATTTTTTTAGAATGTAATATGGGCTCCTACGACTTAATCAAGTGGTAAATGTGTCACTTAGCGGTTGTGACTGCATGATTATTCGTTATTTTTTAAGAATGCTCATTACTTAACTAGATGATATGTGCAAAAAAATGTAGAGAAATTACTTCTGTTAAGCGCTTATATATTTTTAGATTTTGGAAGTATTCATATTATTAGCAGCTGCGAATAAGGCTGTTCACCAAGCAGCATATAACAAACTATCAACGCGAACACTTCATGCAGAAGTGATTTACTCTTTGTCGCCTAATCGCAATGTTACTTCTTTTATTATTTATTTTATTTTTTAAATTCTTTTCTTGTGTACTGTTGCTTATTGCTACTTGTTCAAATTCTTAAATTTCATATTTGTTACTGTTTTAGATTTTCGTATAAAAAAATGCCAAGTAATTATTTTCTATGCACATCTTAGTTTACCAGTTATCTTCCAATTTTTACAGATATCAGAATCGTTAATAACGTTTGGAATTGGAGAAGAGAGTCGTAATATCTTGGTTGGTATTTTTGATGATGAAAGCGGAGAAAAAATGGTTGCACTGGCTAAAAAAATTGATGGACAACCAGCTTCACTGAGCAGATTGTCTCAGTTGACCAATTACGAGCTTATTAAAAAGGTTCATAAATGTTATAATTTTTACGAAAAAATTAATGATGCTTGCAGTAGATATATTATTAGTGTTGGATAGATTTTGCATTTTAGAAAATAAAATATTGCTAGTCTCATCTTTCTTTTGTTCTCGAAGATTGATCTAGTACAATTGGATATGTGGAAGTCTAATAAAAATGTGTCAACTTTATTTGGAACTGTACCTAACATTGATATTTTCAGATATACCGAGTGAAAGAATCAGAATATAATGATGAGTCAATAAGTGATGCGATTATTACTAGAATCGCCACCAAAGATTGTGTTTAACATGTTTTATTTTCGTATTATTTTTATCCTAAATTGAGTTTAGAGGCATATTTAGAGTGTATAGAATAGTCTTTTTTCATAATGTTTGGAATAGTTCATTAAGAATCATGTTAGCAGCTTTACTTGGAAGCAGTTTAATCTTCTTTTTGTTTATAATAATTTAACAAGGTGTAAGTGAAATAATTACGGAATCCACTAATTTTCATAATAAAAATATTTCTTTTTTACTAGCATCAAGATTGGTAACTTATTTTTCTCAGTCTAGTTAATTGCTTCACTTTATAAGTTGAAGTCGTGATCAAATTTTACTGTTCAAAATAAAATTTATTATCGTCAGATTTTGTCATTTTGTTCCATCAAGTCAAAAAATAGGTCCTAGTTAGCACTACATTTTAAATTATTGTTTTTTAAAATTAATTGTCCAGTTTGTGTTATAATATAAAGATCAACGTTCCCAGGTTTCAAATTACTATAATTTTCATCTTCCGCAATCGAACTTCATTTCATTTTGTACGTGTTTCAGTCATTTGTATTCAATTCCAGGTAGCTAATTTCTTGCATATAATTGGCATAATTTCACTTAGCATTGTTCCTTGATTTATTTAGCGGCGATTTTCGATTCCATTGAAATATCAAGTCCATCATCTGACTTAGTCCATTCATTGCTACCGTTATATCATCTAAATTATTGAATGGTTCACCAAGTCATTGCGGATGTAGTGAAATGAAATTGTTGAAAGTAATTTAGTTGTCATAATAAATCCGGAGTTTTATAGCTATGCAAACAACTCCTTGTATCAATTCTAAATGTTGTCATTATTTTCGCTTCATCACATTAATATTGTGACTACAAAGCTTCCAATCAAATCTTTGATTTGCGGTAACGGATGTGTATTTCTAAATGTTCACTGTCAAGTAAAGGTTGATGTTTCTGCAGGCTTGCATTTTTTGTGATATTCACACGATTATTAACAAAATGTTGAGAGATAGTGGTGCGTGTTTTTTTTTATTGCGTAATTTGGAACTGTTGAGTAGTTATAAATGATGGGAAAATTGTGAACGAAATAAGCTGCATGTGGTAATCGGATTACAAGTTTTTTCACTGAAGAATTGATCGACAACCAGCTTCACCGACTAGATTCTCCCAGTTGACCAATTATTCAGGCATGAAATCATGACCTTTGTTACTGTTCAACTTAAAGGAATATAGGGTGTTTCTTGCCATGAAAGCAGATAAATAAAGTCAAATATAGTTGTTTGTTCTGTAACAATACGTTCATGATTTTTTTTTTAATGGTTGAGGTACGTGTAATCAAGTTGCTTGGGAGCGTTGAATAAATTATGACACTGGTGTAATTATTGGTGTAAAATAGGACAAAAACAAGCAGGAAGCAACACTTACGATATTTATAAATCACTTAGAACTTCCTCATTTTTTAGCAACAATTAAATGTGAAAAGGTTCAGATATCGACGATTACACTCAATTTGAGTTTATGAAACCGAAGATAATGGTTGGAGAACCAATTGAGTGAACTGTAATTCTCAAAATGAAGGTTAAAATTTATAATTATTCAACGCATGGTTTTTGATTTATAATCACTTAAAACCTATAAAACATGGAATACATCGCCAGTATATAGATGGAAGTAATCAAATGAATTTAAAAGTAATGAAATCACTGGGGACTTTTGAATCATGAAACATCTTGGGAATCAAGAGATATCTGTAAATTCAAATGAGCAAGAATTGCTGATCGTTCATTTGCTGAACAAAAGCATGAAATAGCTAACTTCTGTTATGGGGATATGGAAGCGTTATTTATTTATTTATTTATTTATTTATCAATCAGGAATAAAATATTTGTCAATCAGGAATAAAATATTTGCAATTGACAATTAAAAATTATTCAATGTGAAAGGTTGATAAGTTATACAAAAAAGTTGAAAACAGTAATTACAAAAGTTAGAAAAACTTATTGGTATGTACAAACATAGTTGGCAAGTGTAAGAAATACAAAAAATGTATCACTTGCTGACTATTTGAAGTGTACTTTTGTCATAATAAGTTATATTTTTTGCAAAATGCTTGAAAATAAATATATACGCAAAAAATGGGGCAAAAAAAAAACAAGCAAATAGAAAGAAGCAATTATTTTTTCACTGCTGTTATGTTAGCATAATTGCTACTGTGGTGATGAATTTTGCTACTGCTAAGCATACTGATGATGTAAGGAACAGAAGAAGTGACAAGATTTTATAATTATAAACTTGGAAAAGTGAGGAAAAACCGGTTAAAGAAGCAGTAATGCTTATCACTCTTACAAAACTGGAAAAATGGTGTTTGCTCAGATGAATTCCATGCAAAAATAATCTATTCCTTTGCAATTTTATTTGGGTGAACACAAAAAAAAATTAAAATGACTAAAGGCATTTCAGTTTCCTTATTGATAAAAAGTGTATCAAAAAAGAAGGTAATTGTAAAAGAATGGTTTTGAGATAAGGTTTTGAGTTCATCAATCAACAAGTACTTTCCTGCACTCCCAGCCACTCATGTATCTATTTAAATGTCTGAACTTTTGATTTCATTAATTAAAAAAATGCTTTGTTTCTTTTATAACCTTTCAAATTTGATTTTAATTTGAAAATTTGGTAATAAAATAATTTGTAATTAAAGAAATCAACATAAATTATTTCATGCTTTCATATCAAATAAAACTTTTTACAATAATTTTTTTACCGTAACTATTTTTAAACAACGTATAGTTAGTTTGTTTGCTTGTATTTATTTCATTGATGTTACGAGAAGAAGATGTGAAAGAGATGTTTTTGTTTTTTTGCTGCGTTTAAATTTTTAACTTTATTCAACTTTTCTCTTTTTTTAAATTTTAAAATATTTATATATTTGAAGTCAAAAAGTTTAACTTTTCTATATGAAATTTAATTTTGCATTCCAAACATATATCGATTTGTTTGCAATTAATTATTCAGTAGGATTTGTTAGCATTTATATTTAGTTGCAATAGAAGATGAGTAATCATTGAAGGTTTTTAAATTTATTACTATAATTGTAAATGATAAATGTAGTCTATTTTTTGTTACAAAGCATTCATTTTTTGCAAATAAATATTCAAACATTGAATGAATGATTATTTTTACTAGAAACGACACATTTTTTTGGTGCAAGACTTACATACTTTCAAGATTGGTAATGCGCGGTTTACTTGAACTGTTTATTGTTGTTGGAACAGGAATATGCTTAGTAGAAGGCGATCAGCTCCTGCTTTTACAAGCGGTAATTAGTAAATTTTTAAGGAATAATTATGTAAAATTACATGAAATTATTGCTATAGAAATGCAATGAGTTTGTAATTATTTATTGGTAAAAAATGCTTATAAAAGAGCAGACAGTGCAGTATTTTCATTAATTTTCAAATATATTAAAAGTATGATAGCTCAATTTATGCAAAACAAAAAAATTTTTCATTTGTACATGGCTGCTAGCAATATGTGCAATTAGTATTTCAGTGCCAAATCTGAAAATAAGACGAAAAGTTAGACAACTTATTTGCGAAAATCTCGTCTCAGTTACAATATTTATTGTGAGATAATAAAAATTGCTGAAACGTTCTGACTTCTTTTTCTACATTATAAAAGAATACAATTCAAATAAATGTGCTACAATTTGCAAGATGTTAGTCTGTGAAGATTCCAATTACACTTCAGATGATTTAAATGTAATAGAATTAAGTACATAAAGTGGAAAAAAAGATACTGGAATTTTTTAAATTCGTTATTGCTTCCGATGAGAGTTAAATTCACTATAAATGATTGGGCTACTTACTATGAATACAAATTTGGCTGATTTATCTTGTACTAATTTTAGGCTTAACATGGAAACAATATTAGATGCTTAATGTTTAGTAATTTATTTGAAATATTAAAAACAATGATAAAGGTATTCTTTTTATGATAATTTAAGATAAGTCAAAAGACATCATATTAATTAAATTTTGCTTATGACTGTCAATAAGTTTACAAAGTAATTTGATTAATTTAACATTCCAAATATAAAATTTATCAACAAAATGGCTATCATTTATCTAGATTTGGAGACATGGTGATAGAGCACCAATCAAAAAATGCTTGGGTGACCCTATTAGTGAAAAAGATTGGCCAAGAGGATGGGGACAACTAACTGCAGTGAGTTTTTCTTAGATATAAGCTGTTGGCTATTTTGCAGCTAAATTGACTCATTACTTTTATTTATGAATCAGGCACTTTTTTTACTGATTAGCATAATTATTAGTGGTAACAGAATAAAACATGTATCATCACAATATACTTTATTGAACTTAGTTTTTAATTAGGTTTAAAATAAAGTGTCAAAGTTTATACAAAATAGTTCGAAAAGTGAAAAATGTGTGGAGGAAAGGACGAAAAATTTAAAAACGGTGACGAGAAATTGCCACTGTAATGAATTATGTGTAATTAATGAATAGTGAATAATTCCAATTCAAACAAGAGTAGTCGTTCTTTGTTCTCATTACATAGTGATTATAACTATTCATTAATAATAATAAAGTAGTAACAATAGCTGAATTGTAATTGTAAATGTAATATTTGAAGGAAGGAATGGCGCAGCACGTAAAATTGGGAAAAATTATCTATAATCGTTACGTCAAAGAGCTCAAATTCTTGAGTCCATTGTATAATGCTAATGAGGTTTACATTATAGAACTTATTATGAGTAAATTTAAAAAGTGAAACTTAATGTAAAATTCAAAAAATTTTAATGTTAACAAAAATTTATAAAATAAAAGAATGAAAAATTTGCTTTGATAGTATTTGTTAATTTTAGATATATGTTCGTTCGACTGATGTAAACAGAACTCTATTAAGTGCAGTATCAAATTTTATCGGGTTTTATAACAATCCATATGTAAATGAACGTACTGGCATTGACTTTCCAAATATTACAGAATGGCCTCAAGGTTTTGTAGCAGTTCCAGTTCATACTGTCAAAAATGAGCATGACTTTGTAAGTCTTACGTAGTTATATAAAATTATTCAGTCTTATTTTTTGAACTAAAGTAAACTTTTACAACCACGAAGATACCTCTTTGGACACATTCACATTGCTGAAAAAAGCTTTCTATTATTTTGCATACAAAAGTTTGTAAGAAAGACTAAAACCTTGCATGATATATTTTCTAGATAGGTAATCCTAGTGCAAAATGTCCTAGACAAGATTGGCTTCGAAAAATGATGTATTTAACTACCGAATGGAAGGATTTATCCATGAAATATGAGGTAAAAGTAGAAAAAAAAATGGCTGTCATTAATTTAATAAAAAATTTCTGATTTTATTTTTTTTGTCATTTTAAGTGGTACAAAAAAAATTAAATGCATACAATTGCAACAGTTTTATTATCATAATTTTTTAATCATTACAATTATGACAGTTTTATTATCATAATTTTTTAAGCATACATGATTGATTAACTTTTAAATTCCAGAATATTTCAAATGACTTTGAAAAAATATGCAAAGAATCAGTATCTCTTCATGATCTTTGGGGCCCTGTCGATGCATTTTATTGCGAAGTTTGCTTTTTTTTCTTTTTTTTGTTAATTTATTTATCATATTTACATTTTTAAAACTATCGTCTTACAAAAATCTGCCTCTCAATTTTTACATTAGGTAATCCCCTTTATTAACAATAATTATGAACGTCAGAAGTTGAAAAAAGTATGTTGTAAGTATAAAATGAGAGTAATAAAAATAATATCAAAGTTTATCAGTTTCTAAAAACTAAACACTGATCATTGCTGTACAAAGTGCATTCTCTTATGTCACTGTTAAAGTTTCAAGTTTGCTTCAGAAATGATCTAACTCATTAGAAATTAAGACTTAAAAAAGAATTAAATGCCTTATTACATCTTATTATTCTTTGTATAATGACCCTAAAAGTTCAATTTAACAATTTAAAATTTAGCACTGCTCGTATTTAATGTTTGTTTGCATTTTTTAAAAGTCATACATTTGATTTTTTCCTCTTCAATGACAAATGTTATGTTGTATTTAAAACTTTTCAAAAACATTCTCAAATTCCGTTATTAGAAAATACATTTAGTTTTTCTTCCAACATAATTACAATATTGACAAAGTTTTAGAAATTACATGGATTTCAAATAGCAGTCAATGATGCCTTGTATGAACAGTTGACACAAATAAACAATAAAGTCCAAAATTTTGAAAATGGATTAGGTAAATGATATTTGTTATTATTTTGTACTGTTCAAGTGCGACGATAAAAAGATTATAAACATGAATTACAGATCTGAAACCATATGATGGCATTGATTTTAAGCATGAGATTGGTAAAATTCGAGGGGGTAGTGTTTTATGGTCAATGTTAAATCATTTTGATCTAAAGGTTTAATTCGTTTACACTTTATTACTTTTTCTAATTACTAATACAATCAATCTTCTCTTAGTTTAATATGCTTTAAAATTTGAGCAATAAACTTCTTAATCATTATTACATTCATTTTCTGATAAATGCTAACATTACTTTCAATAACAGTTACATTGTTTGCAACCTAAAAATAGAGGGACTGCGCATTGCAAATGGATGGAAAATCTCAACTACTATGCTTATTCAGCGGTAAGCAAATCTTTCCCAGTATATATTTGTTTTACATGCAGTTATTTAATTACTTACTTACAAATCATTTTAGTTATTTTTTACAAATTAGTTATTGACAAATTATTTTAAAATACTTAAAATAATATTAGTTTTTTAGTTTTTGACAGCGAAATATCATATAACAACTAAAAATAACTCCTCCATTTACTTACTAGGCATTAATTTTACTTAAAAAGAATAAGGAATATTTGTAATAACAATTTCTTGAGTTAAGTAATTAAAGTGTTATTATATGAAGTTTTTTACTTCAAACTTTTTTGCTAAATCTGAAATAGCTTTCATAATTGATTTAAATTTGATCGTACTAAATTTGACTAATTAATGATCAAACAAGAAAAATTAAAAGCATCAAAATTTTTCTGAAACAGCTTGTAATCAAGTCTTCTATTTTTCTTTAGTTTTGTTTTTTTTGGCTTTTTTGTTTTTTGTTTGTTTGTTTGTTTTGTTTTTTTTTTGAGGAATTTTGCATCAAATTTTTGGCACGACTTGACTTGAAATTTGATAGATTTTTGTAAACTGCTGCACAACTTATGATTTAGAAGAAAATTCATAGAGACGATTTCAACTTTGCTCAAAAGATAAACTTGTGATATAATTTGCTAGCAGTTTAATACAAAATTACAGCAAGAACATTATATGAAAAGCAATAAATCCTTTATTTCATCAAGTCATAACAAATTTATCATTACTTTCAAGTGTTACAAGTATTCGTTATTAAATAAAGAAAATTTTAATCGCAATCAAAAGTTTCGTTTTTCGTTTTAGCACGATACGACATTAGCAGCACTGATGTGTACATTAGATGCCAAGTTTAAGATTCTAAATAGCAATGAATATCCAAGATATTCGTCTTCAATGTTGTTTGAATTGTGGGATACCAAGAATGGACCAGCTTTGAAAGTATGTATGTGTGTGTGAGCGTTTTTAACAAGTTTGACTGCCGATAATACATTTTAGATAAAATTACTTGCCATGCAAAGTTGCAATCATTTTTGCGTTCTTTTTTTTCTGAAAGACAAAAAAGTGTAACTGTTATACGAATCAATCTATCGTGTGATAGAAATTTTTTGACATTTCTAATATAATTTTCAGGCATATTATCATCGAAATTTCACGCAAACAGAATTAGAAGACGTTACTTCCTTGCTTGATCGTTAGTAATTTTCTGATCATTTAAGGTTTATCAGCTTTCATGAATAACTAAGAAGTTTCAGGTGGTAAAAATCCAGAAACTTGACAAATGTCAGGAAACAAAAATAATTCTTTTATCATCGCAATATGTGTGAATTCCTGATAAAATATTATTTATATTTGCTGTAATTCGAATTATATATAATACCAATTTTTTATTTAGATTGCGCAGATAACATGGACTCGGATGGCTATTGTAATTATCACAAATTCCGCGCTAGTGGTATTCCTTATTATCCAGGAGATAAAGACAAGGTTACAAACCAAAATTGAAAAACACAAATACATTGAGAATTAGTTTGTCATAAGACAATTAACAGAAGACCAGACGATGCAATGCAAAATTCTTCTTTCTCCCTGATTTCGCATTTAAATGATCTATATAATTGCAGTTATGTCAAGACACGACGTCGAAAAAAACATATTTCAATCCAGATGAACCACAACCGAAATCTGCACCCATGGTTTCATATGGACCAGTTGTTATGCTTTTAGTAGCCTTACAGTTGTTAGTACCTCAAATGAGATTCTTTTCTTCTTAACTTTTGTTTCCTGCTTCTTGACAAGAACCAGCTTATTAGGAGAAATAAACTGTGGCTGAATTCAAAATATTCTCAGAACTATTTCTTAGTTATGTTCATTTCAATAAACTTTATTTATTACAGCAAGAAATGAGTGGTAAGTTACCAAATATTTGATAGAAATTCATACCACAAAACCAAATGAACAAAAATATGATCTAGTAGTGAAGTGCATATATTTTGAAAAAATTTGCACAAGAATAAGTGAAAATGCTCCCAAAATACCACTTCAGTCCCTTGACATTTAAAACAGAATGGAACGATATTAAGTAATCTGAAAGTTGATCACAAAAAAACTATGAATTAGTGCACACCATGAAGCCTACTGTTACCAGCACTAATAATTACAAAAATAGAAATCAAGCAATTAGAACAGAATAAACTGAGAGTAGTAGAAGCCCTTTGATTACGAGGAAAATAGAGCAACATACTGAAATTTCTTCAAGTTTCGCAGCTTGGACAAATAAAATGGATTAAAACGAGATATATCTTAATATTTTTATCTATCTATAATGTAAATGGTTATGAATGAGACAAATAAGCCAGTCGACCGCTACGTTTTAATTCATTCATTCATTTTCCAATTACTCGAAAAACAAGAAATATCCAACTGCTTCTCCAAAGACAATACCAAGTATTATCCAAACATTAAAGGTCATTGCGATGAGCATCAAAGTGTAGGCCAGAAGACTCTGTACAAAATATAACCCAGACTGCACAACACGATACCATGAAAATAAATTCAATCCAAATCTGAAATAACTTCTTATGCTTCTAGTGACTTTACAATACTGAACAAAGTGAAAATAATTCATTTTGTAATAGAGGAACAGAATTTCGGAACAATTCGGTTACAAGATGAGTTTTGATTATCAGTGGGATTAAAAACTTACAATACTTCAAATCAATGAAAACAAGTTTTAATCACCTGAAACTAAATAATATTAAGTGTTTTTTGCTAGAAAGTTATAAGGATTATAAAATTTTATCCAGTCAATTTCACAAACTACATTTCTCAATGGTCTATTCATATTCATACATTAAGGTCAAGCAATTTCAATTTCTGAGATGGATGTAAAAATTTATACTTTGTTAAGTATTGATAACAGATAGAATCAGTTCACCTGTGAAAAATTGAATATGAGACCGTTCTAGCATTAACATCGTCAACAAGTCCTAAATTCGATTCGGTGTTTCCTGACTGTGCAAGTACTCTTGACTGATTTTGTCGCTCACTAGCATTACTTTCCAGTAGATGCATTCGAAGCCCTAATGGCAACAATCAACTGACTATGATTCTATTGTAATACAAATGAAAAAATACTTCGCTTATTTTAAAGAAACGAAGTTTTCAAACAATCACTTATTACTGATTTCGAATACTCATTACTTCCTACGAGATGATTAGAAAACAAAGTTTTTTTAGATGAAAAATAACACTAAACACAGGTTTACAGCTTGGTGAATGTGTTTATATCATATTAAAAAGTGTATTGATGCAAGCATTTAATCTCAGGATTCCGCTACAGAAATAAGTAAATAAAATTATCAGAATGGAGAATCAACTAGTTCAAAAAACTCAATTTCTCGAATTATGTAAACATAACTCAATTTATTAGTGCAAAAGAAAGAATAAACCTTTAACTGCTTCATATAAAATGCTCATTAAGAAAACAATCAGCACTGAGCCAGCTAGACCTGAAATATGAGATATGTGCTATGATGAATAAGGAGCTGAGTCTGAACTACTCAAAATTTCGATAATTATCAATGGTTCTATGATATCCACTCAACTTAATGAAATAATGTATTTATACTGCCCACCACGTGTTCGTTTTCTTCTCATTCTTTATTTTAAACAGTATTTTTCATTTTGCCAAAACCGTAACACCATATGATTCGTATACAAAAAAAGTGGCAGATATTCTGAAAGTGTTAAATTATGTACTTAATAACTTACAAGGTCAAGGTAAATTTGATCTTAATTTGATTTCATCAATCAAAGATTAGTGCAACAAAATGATGAAGTAAAATGCATAAGAAGTAGTTAAATCAACAAACCAAGAGATGACCCTGTTTTCCAAAAGTCGAACAGAATGAATTCACGTAGACCAAAGTGAAGTACCATATAGTTCATCATATTTGAATAAATGCATTCTGTGCTATTTCTATTGTGCCAGTTAGCCTTGTCACCACATGTGAAGAACATCTCAGTAATTCTGACTTCATAATAAATCAAATGATGTCAAAAAACCAAAAAATGCATCTTTAACTGTTTTTCATCTACAACCCACTACCTTTTCAACACACTCACAACACAAACTTAAATAGCCAACAAAGCCTGAAACTTCGAATTTAGTATCACATTTTAACGCGGGAGTATGAATGTTAAAACGCAACGAATGAAATTGTTTGAAATTTCTTTTGGTAACTTTTATAATCATAATAACATCACTATCATTACTACTAATACCATTAACAGAAATATAACTTATAACGATTTGATTTATATCATAAAATATTCTTACTAATTCAAATACTCATAGACCACTTTTGTACTGAACAAATATTGATTATTAATAGGTAAAATTAATGTGAAGTTTGAGTTAGTATCGAAAAAGATTTGTGGTATAAAAAACTCTCTCTTAAATTGTCATCTATCATCAAGAAAACTTTTCTCACAAACAACAATTAATTCGATTTTGTATGTTTTATTCGAGCTTTAAAGAGTATAATTAAATTGGTGCACGCAAGATTGAACTTGTTCTAGAATCCATTAGCAATAGCTCAAATATAAGTTAACACAAATTAAGACATACACTAATAATAGCAATGAAGTGCTGATCTATTGATAATTTTTTATCAAAGATCAAATTGATAGTTGCAAGGAGGAAAGGCAAAATCTATTCATTTATTGATTGAGAGTTCAAAATGATCATCTGTTAGTGTTGAAATATACTGTATTGAATAGACATGTTATATTCCAACTCCAATGTGATGGCACTCTAAAACTTTAGCAGAATCTATCAGTTAGACTTCAATTTCTTGATCATTAATTATTACTGAACACTACTGTTCAACAACGATATTTTTTGCGTTGGATAGAATAAATGATATTTTGCGTACGATGCTTTATTAAGCGTGTTGACAAAATTTGTCACATTGCTTTGTGGTTAAATACACGTTTAAAAACGATTAAAGTTTCTGTTTCATTCATTCATTCAATAATAGTAAATGCTATAAATTTTATTAAATAAAACTAACGCTATCAAATATTAATAATAAATGAATAATATAAAAGAATGAAAAGTAATGAATAAAAAATCAAAATTGCGTAGCAGTCTTGACGCAGTGGAGAGTATAATACTTTCAATAGCTGTGAGTGATATAAATATAAATGTACTGTACTTCTGGAAGGACTATTGCTAAACTAGCAAGTAAAAAGATTATCACTTGAAATAATGAAGAAGAAAATTGTGAGAGATGAGAAGGAGTTTAAAAGATTTGTTTGAGAGAATTAAAAATTTGCATAGTTTGCAGAATGAATTTCGGAATATATCGCATCGCAAGCAAGCAGTCAATGTATGAGTGAAAAGAAAAATAATACATGCAAGTAGTCTTACTACTCACATCCATAATAAGTTGTCATATTTAATTAAGTTTTCTCGGCTCAATGCTTAGCATTTTATTCTCCAATTGTTGCGCTTCATTTGCCTACTGTACTTAAACACAGCTGCCAAATACTGGCATGTTGAATAAATTTTTCATTTTCTTCTAGAATATAATTGTACTAAGTCTTATACACAATTAATCTCTATCTATCTGCTACTTTTTTAAGTTTTAAGTCTGAAATAATAAATTTGCTTCTCGCAGGTAATTAGAAGAAGCGAATGTCATCATCGATGCGTTTATCTGATCAAGCAACTCGCCTCAGCGTTAACCTTCGTGAGCGATGTCGTATGCATGATCTCAACGAAGCATTCGACGATTTACGAGCTATCTTACCATATGCTAATGGTACATCCGTAAGAAAATTATCGAAAATTGCTACGTTACTACTTGCAAAAAATCACATTTTGATGCAGGTAATCAACCAATAAATAAAATAAAGAAAAAAAAATCACTGGTTTTTTTTTTCAATAAAAACTTTGTTAAAAAGTATTGCCGTAAAGCACGCTTGAAATATGCTAACATTTTCTTTTGTGATTCTTATCCATCTGACAAATACACTCACTGCACAAAACTTTCACATGCACATTTTGTGGCTTATTCAATGATCGGAAATTATGACAAGTAATCATATAATTAAGTAAATAAATAAACAGTATAAATATAGAAACAAATAAGTAAATAAATAAGTAATTTTTCATTAATGACAACAAACTATACGATTATTGTAATTATTATTATTATTATTTCACTGTATAATTTTTATATTAATAACAGAAAGCATTTCAGGCAAATGCAATGGAAGAAATGCGTCGCATAATTCACATTCTACAACAGCAACTCTTCAATCTATCATTTACGAATTACGACACACAGCATTAAAATTTTTATCTGCAAATTTCTACGTACACTACTTTGAAATATTAGTTTTTATTCATTTTACCAAGTTTATTATTATTATTATTATTATTATTATGCCATGAAAAATAATAGTTAAGCGACAAGCTATTTGCACGTTGGATTTACTGTAACCTGGAAATTTTTCTTGTTTTCCTCACAAAACTAACCAAATTTGTCTATTGCTTTCTAAACTTTTGAATAAATTTACTTCTAGCCTCTGAATTTCAAATCAAGTGTGCACGCAAACTTACTTTCCGTAAACTCTAATGCTATTAATCAAAATTATAATTGATTTCACAATTTTTGATGCAAAGGCTTTTCAAAACTATTCTAAAACTTTTCAATATTAGGCCATTCATTGCATTTTATTTTTTGAGTCCATTAGAACATTAAACAATAAACTGATTGCGTTACATTTTATCAATAATAAAGGAAAAAAACAACGGATAATTCAGAAGTGAGCTAAAAATCTTATGAGGATACAGTGAAAATGCGTCTAAAAAATGTTACATTCTTGTGGCTAAATTTTTAATATATTTTTAATATTTCAACATAAAATAAAGTGAAATTTAATGTTATCGAGCTTACAAGGTTCTTATATAGAGGTCAATCTTATCTTCTTTATTACTGATTCTGGCGCAGGTCACTGCACTCGCCTCGCGCTCAGTTCTGCTGTGTTGATCTTTGCCGCTTCGCCCTCGTCAAATCCACGGCACTGATCGACTGAGATGATTTCGAGCATCTTCTTGAGCACTATCAACTGAACACATGCCTAGAGTGATCAGATACAATGATTTCCTTTGTGTAACGTTTAAGGAAGTTTGTCGTCACTAGCCCATCCCAAGTCATCACACACAGAATTATTTCCGTTCCGCATCTCATCTCTGACCCGAGTTTACTAGCTAGTAAATCATAGTTTTGCTTTTTCTCGGTCTTAACTGCTATTAACCAGTCTTGATCAGTGAAGCCAACCTCTATCAGGAATACTCCGTGCCATTTCTTGTCACGGAGAACATGAGGATGTTTGGACGAACCGTTCTCATTCTAATTGCAGTTTTTACTCGCCTGTCGACTCTAATTTATCCGCTCTCATTAGGGATAATTTCCTAAAAAGAATGGCTCCACATGCGTGAGAATGCTTTTAGGTCATACTTTTTGCAGCGTTCTAAATGGATGTATCGCAGCATCTCATTATGACTTCTAACATAGTCATGCAATAAAATTTTATCGCATTGCGTTGCTAGATGGTCCACCATCTTCACACGTTGCCCACAATATTGGCGCAACCTTTCTCACCTCCAAACATATTTCTATATTCGAAAATACAGTATCGTGCTTCATCGTGTGAAGTAATGTTTCCGAATCGCATCGTGTATATTTTTGCATAGTGGGTTTTCTTTTTATTTCGCTATACAAGAGTGCCTTCTGGGCTGTTAATACATTTCCAATATTGAATTTTTTACGAGGTTGTATCTAGTCTTTAGATAGGGCATAATAACTGCTATATAAATGCTGTGAGCCTTATCCTGCTTTAAAATCGTGTCCTCCAGGGATAGATATGGGTGCCATATTTACACGAATATTATGAAACTGCAGAAGCATAAGTTCATAAGTTCACTTCTTTGTTCAACGCAATGAAGCCCACGTCCTAGCTCGCCCCTTTCCATATGCAACTTCGCCAAACATGCTGGTTGATTTTGAATCCCCCATTTATTTAGTAATTGCTTCATATCGTATTCTATAGCTGTGAAGTCTTCCGGTTCCAATTTTAGCACTC